AAATGAAGATTTAGGCACCTAACTTTCCACTGAAAACATCCCACACTTCACGTCACCCTCACCACCGTGAGTGCTGTCACTAAATAACATCAGCAAACACACAACAGAGGAGTTGTTTATGCAGTTTGTTTTCCCTGTTCAGTGCAAAGTTGAATGAAGATAGGAATCACATTGGACCTAAACTCAGTCTACCCAGTGTGTGGCTAACAGCAGGCCCTCAAAACACAGGGATGAAACAACCTACACACCCACCACCGGCCAAAAGGATTAACAAAATGAAGTCTGAAAAGAAAAAACAAACAAACAAACAAACAAACAAAAAAGCAGTCTGTCCAGACAGTGGAATTGTTATTCAGCCTCAAAAAGGAACCAGCTCTGCTAGCACTGCAGGATGGATGGACCTCAAAACACCATACCATGCAAGAGAAACCCAACAGTGAACACCACAAACTATATGATCCTCTATCAATAAACATCTAGAATAGGCAAAACTGCAGAAAAGGAAAGCAGACTGGTAACTGCCAGGGCAGGGACAGGGAGGGCAGGCAAGTGACTGCTCAAGTGGTCGGATGTGGTTTGTCCCCCAGGGGCTCAAATGTTACAAGTGTTGTCCCCAGCATGGTGCAGTAAGACATGGTGGAAACGAGAATGAATAATATTCCCTAAACCTAGAAAGAAGCCAAAGCCAGTCTCTGATTTGCCTGAATGACTCACTCCAGAAAAAAACTGCAGAATAAAGGTGGTGTAGGACCTCGGAAAATAAACGCTGAGTTTGTCCTGAGCCAGGGCTTAGCAGGCCGAGTCCATCTCAAGGCTATTTTTGTAAAGCTTGTAAGCTAAGAATGATTTTCACCTTGTTAAAGTGTTATTTAAAAAGAGAAAGAGAGAGAGAGAGAGAGAAAGGACATACAATGCACACAACATGTGGTTCACAGTCCTGAAATACTGGCCAGTGACTTTCCTGAATAAATCAGCCTCCTTAGGGGTAAAACTACTCAGGTTCATCTCTTCTCACAGTCAAGACTCTAGACCTGAGCTGTGGGACAAATGAGAGAGAAAACATTTATGCACCTTTGCAGACCTCAGTGAATGCCTGTGCCCAAGTATGGCCTGGACTGTCTGCTGCAGCTACTTCTGTCCTGGAAGAACTGGCCACCGGAAGGTCCAGACTCACTGGCCCTCAGACCGGGGAGGGGATTCTTTCTCCCCGGGAAACACCCAAGAAACTCTGCTGGGCTGACAGATGTGGCCCTGAGTCCCACGGCCATGTTATTCCCAGGCCCCAAAACCAGTGCAGTGAGACTCTTCTCTGGTCAGCCTTCTTCCGCTTTCCTGGCCCCACTGTCAAGTCCCCAGCACTCAGAGCTCAGCAGCTGGCGGGAGGGCCACCTGGAGTGAAGGAGGTGGACACAGCCTGGGGACAGCCATGGACCGGAACCCACCTCAGCAATGGCACTCAGCCCCTCCCCTGCTTGTCTGACTGTGGAAAGGCGGGAGAGAAAAAGATGGAGCAAAGCCTGAAGGAGCTACGGTGTGTAGGACCACGGGCAGGGACTTCCAGGGTAACAACAGCTGGGGGACTAGATTTCTCATTTCTGAGGGCACGCCCCCAGCAGGCAGGGGCACCCTGAGGTACCCAAGCAATAATGAGACTACACAAACCCCAATTCAGGGGCCCGGAAGCGCCCCCCTCCCAATCTCTTGGATTAGGGCCTGGCATTTGATTAACAATTCTTAACTGCCACAAACCACAGTAAAAGCTACCTGCTCCTACAGTTACCAGCCTCCCCTTTCCTGATGAAGGTGGAAATCCAGTCCCTGGACTAGATTTTCCAGTGTCTCCTATCTCCCCATCAGCAGGATAAGGACCACCACGCACTTTCACACTGGGCACGACAGTGCCTCAGCCTGAGGATCAGACCAGACCTCATCCTGGCTGTGCGGACCTGGCTGCAGGACCTAAGACAAGTCACTCGACCTCTAGACTTCAGCAGGCTTGCCTGCAAGACGAGGGAGGGGCTGGGCTGCTGGGTGCTCACACTCCCCATTTCAGAAGCTACAGTCAGAACTGCTGTCTCGCCACACTCTCCCCACCAAGGCTACGCAAGAGTCACTGCCACTTAGCAAAAACAAGGGCTGCAGCATGGTGGTAAAAGTTACCATGATGGCACGGTAGGGCCAGGTGATAGAGGCGGGTGTCCAAGCCTGGGCTCAGGGCCGTCAGGAGATAGACAATGAGCTCCCAAACTAAGGAGAAAAAAGCAGCACTTCAGTACCAAGCATCCCCTTGAGTCTCCACCACCCTGGGAGAAGCACCAAGTTTCAGCTGCCCTGGTGAAACAGCAGCCTCAGAGACCAGAATGGGTCATGGACCCACCCAGGGAAGGACCAGGATTCAAACCCAGATTGGCCGGCCGGCTCCCTGCTTCCTTCACTTCCAGTGCTGCCTCCTGACTCAGAAGCCTCTGCTGGCCCCATCCCACCATGAGCACCCAGACCCCACCATGAGCCTCAGGTTCTGCCCCCACAGCAGCCCCCAGCCCTCACCCTGAGCTCAGTTCCCCTCCCATGAGCCCTCAGCACTACCTCACAGGACCACAGGACTAACAACTCGTCCCTGCCAGAGCCGGGCAATAGCACAGGGAAGAGTTCCAGGACAGACCACATCCCAGTGAGCACCAGCTTCCCACAGGCTGTCTAAGGTGCAGGTGCAGCCACATCCCTCCATCTCACACCAACTCTCCCCCACGCAGAGGGCTCACTGCTGCATCTCCTTCCTCAATCTACCTGAACGCGGTGGCAGGGGTTTGTCACGGGGCCCAAGAAAGGCCAAGGCCACTCCATCCAACCAAATTCAGGAGCCTGGCGTCTGGGTCTCAGACTGGTAATTCCAAGGGTCCAAAGTGGCTGAGACATAGGCAGCTAGGGTGTCATGGAGCCCAGTGCCACAACACACCTCTGTGCCCTGCTCTGCAGACAGATCTGCCCCACACAGGAGCTACTGCCTGGGCTCCTGGGCATCTGCCCTAAACCCTGGTGGTGGAGGGTACTGAAGTACCTTGGGTTTCAGGGTCTCACCCCACACAACACCCCATGAAATGTAAACCAATACAACCACTATTGAGATTCCTCAAAAAACTAAAACTAGGGGCTGGGGATTTGGCTCAGTGGTTCTGCTGCCTGCCTTGAAAGCCCAAGAACCTGAGTTCAATACCCAGTACCAAAAAAATTTTAAAAAAAACACAACAACAACAAAAAAAAACTAAAACCAAAAATTCTATTTGGCCCAACCACTCCTTTTCTGGATACTGTCCCACAAGAATTAAGTTAACCATATTAGTGATACACGCACTTGCACACTAATGCATGCAGTTCACAATGACTAAATTATGGAAGTGGCTTATACACCCACCAACAGATAAATGGATAAAAATACAATACATAATGCTATGTAGAACAGACATACGTACTAAATATCACATGGTTTCTCTTATATGACAAACTTTTAAAAAAAGTAATTTAAAGAGCAAAATAAAAGAGAGATAGGGGCCGGGGGTTAGCTCCGTGGTTCCACCACCTGCCTCAAAAGCACAAGGACCTGAGTTCAAGGACCAGTACCAAAAAAAAAGGTGACCTGACACAATACTCCAGGTGGGTTCCAATCAAGCCCTGGGTGGACACCCAGACCTGCTGCTTCCTCGTGCAGCAAGGAGCTGACACAAGACCATGGCTGCAAACAACAAATCAACGTCCCCAAAAGAGCCAAAACACTGAGGGCCAGACATACCTGAGCTGCACAAGGGTTCACAGAAGCAGCCTTGCACTGGGCACCTCCCCACCTCAACAGGCTGTGTCAAGAGGTGGTGGGGATAGGACAGGGAATTCCTCAGGGAGGAGTGTCACCAAGGAGCCTGGACAGCGATGGGACCCTGTGGTCCCAGCTCGTGTAGCCAGCCAACTGCCTAAACTGATTTGCAAGTTTAAAAGTGGTTATTAGGACAGGTGATACCCACAATCGCTGGGCTGAAAACTATGCTGCCACACTGGACTCCTAGGAGCACAGACCCATCGTTCCTAGACATAACCCACCAAATAAATCTTACACTGCTGTTTCTGTAGCCACGAATATTTCCTTCAGACTTTCAGTGTCTCCCACCATACCAGGGCATTTCTGTGCCTCTTTTTTAATCGATGATATTTTCTCTCGATAATCAGCCACTTGGCCGCCAGGGTCCCCTCTGTGCAGGAGACCGTGCTCCAATCACCAGCAGGTGACACAGCTGGAGCATCCACCTTGGGCAGAGTCCCAGTGAAAAAACAAGGCTGAGTGCTTGGAAAGCTAATGGCAATTACAGCAATGATGGTGAAGGTCCCGTCATTAAACCTTCCCTGGATGCTTTACACTTTTCACAGCACTTGCAAAGTGCTTCCCAATTACTGTACTTTCATTAGGTCCACAGGTAAAGAATTCACAGACTTTCCATTAGCTCGCAACAATACGCCTCGTAAAAACACTCTGGCATGACTGTAAATAAAGAGCACCGGTTAACTTTTACAGCTTTCTTCTCCGGGCCTCTCAGAGGAGCTCAGACAGCAAGCCCGACCTGTGGCAGCTGGGGAGCTGGGCGTGACCCCACGCTGCTGTTAAGCAATCCAGGAGCAGGAGTTAGTCGCAATTTAGGGCTCCTGAGCCACAGGTCCAAAACATCTTATCAAACCCAGGCCTACTGAGAAAAAACAAAGGCACAGTCGGGCCCCAACGTGGCGAGGGTTAGGTGCTTTGGGGCGGACTGACCGAGGGGAAACTGCGGCGTTCAAGGCCTCCCCAGGGGGCTCGCCTTCCACCTGCACCGGGGGCGCTCCGTGCGCCGAGAGAGGCGCAGGGTCCCAACCGCCCCCCCAAGGGAAAGGAGGGGGTGACCCCGGAGCAGGGCCCAGGAGGGTCCCCCCGGGCGGAGCCTTTGCCCCACCCTCAGCCTGCGGCCGGGCGAGCGCCTCACCTGGGCGAAGTACAGGTTCATGAGCGTGAGCGTGAAGAACTGGAGGCACACGGGGAAGCAGTAGAGCAGCCAGAAGAGGAAGGGGCCCAGCGCGTTGGCCGCCACGAAGTCCCTGAAGTAGAAGGAGAAGAGCACGGTGCGCAGCGAGGCCCAGCAGAGGCAGAGGAAGAGGAAGACGCTCTGGTAGCTGAGCCGCTTGTGGCGGTAGCGCAGCACCAGCCAGAGCTGCGCGTAGATGAAGGCGAAGAGCAGCGCGTAGAACACGGTGTAGACCACCGTGAGCCCGAGCTTCACGTGCGGCGGCACGGCGGGGGTCAGCGTGGGCGACGGCGAGTCGTTGCGCGCCGGGTCCC